ATCTTACTATACCTGGATCAATGCCTCTGGCCAAGTAAAAAGGTTTATGCAGAAATTTAAGGAGGAAACTCTCTGACTTTTTAAAGTAGACTCTTGGGGCCCCTGGGTGGCTCAGCTGGTTAAGCGTCTGCCTTCGGCTCAGGTCATGATCCCAAGGTCCTGGGATGGAGCCCCGCAACACGCTTCCAGCTTGGTGGGGGGCCTGCTTCTTCCCCTCCCTCTGCCGCCCTCCTTGCTTGTGCTCTCTCACTCTCTCTCACTCTCTCTCAAATAAATAAATAAATAAATAAATAAAATCTTTAATTAAAAAAATAAAGTAGACTCTTGCTAGTTTATGGGATTTATTCAGCTTGCTGAGTCCAGGACCCTGATGGGCATGGTTGAGATCAATCTTGCTCATTAAAAATCTTATTTATAGTTTCTTTAAATAAATGCAGAGGAGACAAATTGAATAGATCTGATCCTACCTCCTGTCAGTAAGATTAACCAGTGTGGTTTTAGGACTGGCATGTACACAGGGAAATTTGCTAGAAGCCAACAATATTGTACAAAAAAAAATCTTTTGGGGAGACAATTCTCCATAGGTTTTGTGTCTTATTTCATGTTATGCAAGCAGAAACTGTCCCTAGATAAGAAAGATTTATTTACAATGAAGATAATGTCTTTTTCTGGACATATGCCAAGCAGGTTTACTTAGAAGCCCATCGTAAAAAATAGAGATTCCCTAAGCCGGGGTTCCTTAGCTGTCACACAAGCCCCCTGCAGGTACAGCACCCACTGGAGCGGCTGCACCTAGTCTTGTAGGACAGGAGGTGACAAGCAAGCAACATTAACATGAGGTTCACGCTGCTTGCTGTTCCATGAGTATTTAAGTCCACTCTCTGTCTAAAGAAGTAGAATGTTTTCTGCCGGTGTCTATGAAATTGATGCAAGTTAACTTAGCTTGCAAGTAGGGTAAAATCTCAGACCCTTCATAGCTCTTGACAAAATTATACCACAACTCCCAGCTGTAAGAGAGCCAAAAAATGTAGTTTTTCAATGGGAGGTATTGGTCTCTCAAATGAACTTTGCATTCTGTTGGCAAATTTAAAAGCAAGAATGGTTATTCTGCAGGCAGGCAGCTGTTTGTGCCAATAGGGTCAGCCTACTTTGGCCCAATGACTGTCCTGTTTTCATACTCCCAATGATAGACAAATCTTCTGAATTGACATACAGTATTTTTCCTTGAAAATCTTAATACGGTGAAGATCTGCAGGCTTGACATCATTGTGTCTCTTTAATAAAGAGGATTCTATGTATTTCATTTGTAAACTCATTTTTTAAAAACTTTACAGTTGTCAGGAATTAATTTTATTCTTATTTCTATAGAGTCAAAATACGCTAGTGGTGAAAAGCGACAACTATGGAAATGACTATCAGTGTTTGAATTCATGCTTCTCAGCTTACTTGCAAATTACCTGATGTCTTACATCCTCAGTTTTTTTCATTTGCAAAAAATCACCATCATCATCATCATCATCATCATTATCATCATCATTTACCTCAGAGGGCTGTTGTGAGGCTTAAATGAGATGATACGTGTAGGCACTGTAGGCACTTGGAACAGAGCCTGGATTTAATAAATGCTCTCTGTAAGATTAGCCCTTTTTATTATATTCTTGGGGAATAGTTCACTGCAACTCCTTTATACTCATTATACATAGGAGCATAGACTGATCAGACTGTAGAACTCAGCTCATACTTAGCTGTGTTTTGTGAGAAAGTAACTCAGTTTTGTTTTTTTTTCTGTTTTCCTATTTGTAAAATTGTGATAATAATGTTACCTACTTCATAGAGCTGTTGAAAAGATTACATGACTTAATGTAAAATACTTATTCTTGGACCTGACAAGTTAAATGCTGAGATATTATTTTTAATATTTTTATTGCTACAAGACCTGTTCACAATTTCTTTCTGTTGGAGTGACTGTCTCTCACACATTGTGAAGTTAGCTAGCATTTTGAAAGGCAACATTCAACGTCAAGGTCCACCCATAAAGCCTTCTTTGATCACTGCTGCCAAAAATTCAACACCTTCTTCATTACACACCATTAGCATTCAGTTTGCATCATTCATGACACTTAACACACTATTTTCTCGATTAACTGAGTCATAAATCTTTTACCTCTTTTGTTAATTGTAAGCTTCTTATGGGCTAAGACGACATTCTGTAAAACTTTTTATCTTATATTTTGCATTGCACTAAGCAAGTGAGCAACGAACACTTCTTAAATGGCGCATTTTTAAAAAGCTCAACATTTCCTAAACTCTTTTCAAGCCTTTTTAAAGATGTCTTGAATCAATCCATTCAAATAAAGTTTCCACATTTTTTTTTCTGTTTTCACCCATTTACTTAGAATCAAAGACTTGAATTTTCTTTGTTAGGGAATTTAATGTAGACTTTTATACTGTGCCCTTAATCATAATTAACTGCTTTTGAAAAAAGTGTTTCTCTAATTAACTGGATATAGAAGCTTAATCTTTTTTTCCTTTTTTTAAGGTATATTTTTATAAGCAAAATACATCTTTAATCACATTTGGCTCCAGCAGGATGCCTTATTTCATGCATAGAGGATGCTTAATCCATTCCTTAATGAAAGCAATTCCTGCTAACCAAGATAAAAGTCAAGTATAATTCCAATGTTTGAACTTAAAATGATGACACTGATGAATGAATATGTAAATACATGTAGCCCTCTTCAAGGTAGAAGGTATTTGGATAGCTTGATGTTTATTTTGGACTCTAGCCCAGTTCTTTACTAGGAAGATTTATTGTGAGCATCAAAGGGAAATTTTCTTTTATTAAACAAGAGTATTACTGGAAATAATTTTAAGGATACAAGCAGGGTAATTTTTCATGAATTATTAAATTAAAAAGTAAGTCAAAAGCAAGTTTATCATCAAAGTAAAAGAACATATTATTATTATTATTATTATTATTATTATTCCTAAAACAAATCCTGCTTCTAACAGAGGACTCAGTCATGCACTGTGATTACAGCATCTTATTTACTTATTAGACAGAGGAAAAAAGAATAAGGAATTTCAAATGTATGTAAATAATTTTCTATGACTATGAATTTAGTGTACATTTTCAAAAACATTTACCTCATCAATAATAAAAATGCATTCTCTTATAAGAATTTCCTAGCTGTCAACCATGTAGGACTTGGAAATAAGATAACAAGGGATTTTCTTTCCTCATGGATGTATATAATGAAAAAGTAAAATTCTCATTTTAATGTGAAAACTTTCATCAAAAATCACTTTTCTGTTCTTTATTTTACTGGCCTACTTTGATAGGACTAACTAAAGAATGTTTTTCCCCCTCTTAAAGAAGGGTTTACAGTTTAAAAATTCATTATTTCAAGTTATATTTGAGCAGAGATCAAAAGAATGCCAGTTAAGGTAATAAAAATCATAGAGAATATGATGGGAAGAAAACTGACAAAGGCATATTCCACATATTGATTCCAGAGGTAGAGTTTACTACATTCACTAAATAATCCTATCAGCAAATTTCAAATTTGTGTTCAACCCTTACTTTTACTGATGAGCCAATTATTTTTTCGTTTCTGTTTAATTTTATTCATTTCAGTCTCTTGGTCTTTGTTCTGTGATCCCTAAATAATATGAATTAAGTAACAAAAATAAGGATTTCCGTCCTGGAGACAAGTGTGCTTTTGGAGAGGGCCACAGACTTCTGGCTGAGATCTCCCCGTCAAGTTTAATCTACTCTGGCTGCCAAAACCCCATGCGACCTTTGAATATTTAGGGATAAATGTAACTGCCACTTGCTCTCCCTCTGTGGGAGTCCACAGGGGATCCCGTTCGTTGCTTTCCAGATTTCTGCCAACCTGTTTGTGCTCAGTTCTATTGATGCCACTTTCTGGCTCGCTCTTGTGTAACTGTTCTCCAATATTGTTCACAATGCTGGGTAGATTATGACAAGAAAACCATTATTTTTAAATGTTTATTTATTTGCTAAGAAAAAATTGGTTGTACTACAGAGGGTGAAGTCTTTGTGATTTTTTGAAATAAAAAAATAAAAACTAGACCCAGCCATCCTGAATGGAAAACATTTTTCTGAGACTCCTTTTTAAGGCAAATCTCTAAAGAAACATGTTTCAAAATATATATCTTCATGAAGACCTGCTAATTTTCTCTCATTTTATTATATCCATCTCTATTCCCTCTAATGACAAAAATTGGAGAGACTAAATTTGAACATCTTTGGGATCAGTTAGAAAATAGATTTGTTCAGGAAAAAATAAACTATCGTTATCACTTTTGTTCACTTTTCTTAATGTAACACAAGTAAAAATACTGAGACAAAGTATCTTCTCGGATTATAGTAAATTTAGGGCAAATGCTTTGTGTTTTATCTTGGGAAGTTAAATTAAGTGTCTTCATATTACTCAGCATTTTGGTGAAATTTCATATTGCAGACAAAATGCCATGCTAACTATAAAGTAATATAAATCGTTACTCCCAAAGAGTGTAAGGATGTAAGGAAATAGGTCCTTTTTTTTTTTTGAACCAATAAATATAAATAGGCATCTATTTTCAGTGTTCCAGGATCTGTCCAAAATGGTGTTTTATTATTCTATAAAGATACAAATATTTTTGAAAAGGGAGAAGGACAGTATTGTCTTTATGACTTCTCATTATCTGAAAAATCAAGACATATCAGAGTCAGATTCCCTTTAGAAACATTTATAAACTGAGCATTAGGGACAGGTATTTATTTTTTAATTTGGCTTCAAAGTGATTTAATACAAACGACTGAACTTGAACTCAGTAAAACTTTTTGTTTTTGCTGCTAGATTTGTAAGATTATGACAGAACAAGAAAATCACAGTTAACAATGAGTAAGCTCCTTGAAGTTTTTTAAGATTTAATGAAGTTGCTTGCCATGCAAATATCAGCTTACAAAACTCACACAAATCACAAACACTTACCATATTCACTATCATAGAATATAATGAATTTCTGCCAGGCATATTCTGTGACCACTCTCAGGATAACATCATTTAAGTAGACAGGTGGGCGAACAGACAGAGTGTAGTCATCATTCCTGTTGCTCCGGGTGAGTCCACAGCCACTTCTTGGGGTCCCAGCTGTTGAGCGCTGTATGAAGAGGTGGGGGATATGCATGGCATCTGCCAGAGACTGGAGGGACCCTGCTGACGTGCAGCCAATGGAGCTGACCAGGGCCAAGATGCCTTGATTCATAAGTTCACAGGCTGCAAGAAAGCACAGTAATATTCAAATGTCAGTGGGTTTCATATAACTTCTCTTTTGGAGGAACAGTGAAAAAAGCTTATGGGGTTATTACACAACTGTCGATTTTCTTTTTTTTAATGAACATTCTCCATGAAGAAATCCTCAAATTACAAAATGCTACTGGAATTCAGCTAACGAACTCTGCCCTTATTAGCTATTTGACCTTGTGCAAATTACTTAGCTTCTCGTGGTCTCAGTCTCATCATCTGCAAAGAGGGTAAACAGCATGAATCTTGCAGGATTATTGCTAGGATTGGAGATAAATCAGTGTCTGTTATTTGCCTTTCACATGATAGGCACTCAATTAGTGACAGCTATATTTTTATAATGATCAATGTATACATTCAGAGAAAAGACAATTCCTCACTGAGTACGTAATACAAGGTTTTCAAAAAGCAGATAATACGTAAATTGGTGAATGAATAAAAGGAAGATGAAAGGCTTAAGTAAGGAATTTCTGGCTACAGAAAACAGAGCCATTCTGGTATCTAAAGTTTGATGACACTTTGTCTCTCTTATTAAACTGGAAAAATGAAAGTGTTTTTGTTCTTTTCCTTGGCAGTCAGAAAACTCATGGTCAAATCAAATACTAAGTTTCAACAATTATCTCATTCTGGTTTCCGGTTGAACAATTTCTAATCTTTATTATATGATTTATTATCTGTGTTTTAATTTCATTTTAACTATTCTGGGTATGCATATATGTTTACTTCAAAACATATTTAAAACTTGGTCAAATATAAATTATAAGTACATATCAAGACATAGCATATATAGAAAAATAGAGTTAATAAGTCTTAACTTTCTCTCTCTCTTTTTTAAAGTAATCTCTATGCCCAACGTGGGGTGTGAACTCACAACCCTAAAATCAAGGGTTGCATACTCTATTAACTGAGCTAGCAAGGTGCCCATTTTTTTTTTAGCCTTTTTGATTTTTAAAATTTTAATTAATTTATTTTTAAAGTAAGTTCTAAGTCCAATGTGGGGCTTGAACTCACAACCCTGAGATCAACGGTAGCATGCTCTACTGACTGAGCCAGCCAGGCTCCCCCTAATAAGTCTTAACCCTTAATAAGTCTTAGTAAGAGTTAAGATATCTGAGCAATCTCAGAGTGCCAATCTTTGAAGGCAAGAGGTTAGAAATAAAATCAAAAGTAAATTCAGATGGAATCAAGGTAAAATAAATTTTATTTGAGAAGGCCCATTATTATAATTGGTCCAGGCATTATTCTAGATTTTAGGCATTGTAGGTATAATATTCTCAATATTTATACATTATTATAATCTGTTTTGCAGTTTTTAAAAATAAAATCAGAGAAAAACTTAGATGAGAAGTACCTCCATGTAATTAATTGGCCAGTTAATGAAGGCTGACAAAGTGCAAGCTTGGAAGTGCTATATTAATGACATGCACATAAACACCAAATAAATTTATTGCAATTAATTTTAAGCCAAACAGTACATACAAAATAAATTAATAACTATCAGGGACATTATTTTTAAGCATAAGACAGGTTATATGATTTCAAATGAATTTGAAAGGTAGCATCAAGGATGAATGCTTCTTAGGCCATAACAGATTGAGGTTGAAGTTTCAGTAAAAATCACAGAACCTACTCATGTTTGTGAATTCAACATTTATAAAAGCAATATGAATTTATAGTTACAATGCATTTAGGCAAAAACACTGGTCAAGAGTTTGCTTCCTCACTGTAGGAAAGACCATTACTGATTTATTAAGCAAATAGGTATTCACTTTTTAAAAAAGATTTTGCCCCAAAATTTGTCTCATTTAGCATTTAAAATCAAAATATGGAGAATATCTTAAGGTATACACAACTGAATTCCATGTTTAGATTACACTAATTTAAGATGATCAAATAAATACAACAGTTTACATAAATCTATCCCAAAAGTTATATAGTATAGAAGTTGAGATGAGAAAATTCAGTTTAAGTATTATAAGCTGTCACATATGAAAATTGTCTATTTTAATCTTCATATTTAAAAAGAAAAACTCTGAAGAGTCATATATAAATCATTATTTATCATATAAATTTGCTTTAGTATATAATCATTTCTTCAAACCAACTATGTTACTTCCTATTAACCTCTGTTGGTGGGAACACAAACTAAGCAAGTACTAGAAACAATTGCTATTATTATATAAGCAAATGTATTACTTTTAAATTATTTACTATTTGGTATTATCTATCTTTTACATATATAAGGAAGAATGACTGAAAATTCTCTATAAAATCAAAATAGGAATCTTCAGAAATTGCAATCAGAAAATCATATAATATTAAATCTGAAAGGTAATTTAGAAATCAAGTAGTCCATTTTCAACTGTTTGAGGAACCTCCATACTGTTTTCCAGAGTGGTTGCACCAGCTTGCATTCCCACCAACAGTGTAGGAGGGTTCCCCTTTCTCCGCATCCCCGCCAACATCTGTCGTTTCCTGACTTGTTAATTTTAGCCATTCTGACTGGTGTGAGGTGGTATCTCATGGAGGTTTTGATTTGGATTTCCCCAATGCTGAGCAATGTTGAGCACTTTTTCATGTGTCTGTTGGCCATTTGGATGTCTTCTTTGGAAAAATGTCTGTTCATGTCTTCTGCCCATTTCTTGATTGGATTATTGGTGGGAATGCAAGCTGGTGCAGCCACTCTGGAAAACAGTATGGAGGTTCCTCAAAAAGTTGAAAATAGAGCTACCCTATGACCCAGCAATTGCACTACTGGGTATTTACCCCAAAGATACAAATGTAGTGATCCAAAGGGTTATGTGCAGCCCGATGTTTATAGCAGCAATGTCCACAATAGCCAAACTATGGAAAGAGCCAAGATGTCCATTGACAGATGAATGGATAAAGAAGCTGTGGTATATATATATATATACACACACACACACACACACACACACACACACACACACACACACAATGGAATGTTATGCAGCCATCAAAAGGAATGAAATTTTGCCATTTTTAACAATGTGGATGGAACTGGAGGGTATTGTGCTGAGCGAAATAAGTCAATCAGAGAAAGACATGTATCATATGATCTCATTGATATGAGGAATTCTTAATCTCAGGAAACAAATTGAGGGTTGCTGGAGTGGTCGGGGGTGGGAGGGATGGGGTGGCTGGGTGATAGACATTGGGGAAGGTATGTGCTATGGTGAGCGCTGTGAATTGTGTAAGACTGTTGAATCACAGACCTGTACCTCTGAAACAAATAATATATTATAGGTTTAAAAAAAGAAGACGATAGTAGGAAGGGAAAAATGAAGGGGGGTAGATCAGAGGGGGAGATGAACCATGAGAGACTATGGACTCTGAGAAACAAACTGAGGGTTCTAGAGGGGAGGGGGGTGGAGGGATGGGTTAGCCTGGTGATGGGTATTAAAGAGGGCATGTATTGAATGGAGCACTGGGTGTTATACACAAACAATGAATCATGGAACACTACATCAAAAACTAATGATATAATGTATGGTGATTAACATAACATAATAAAATAAAAATAATAACAAAAAAAAAAAGAAAGAAAAGGAAATCAGGTAGTCCACGGATGGAAAATCAACTTTAACTGCTATGCCATCTGTGACTGGCTTGGTAAGCTGGCATCTTGGAACACTATTTGAGAAAGATTTTGAGACTCAAAAAGAAAGAGTACCAAAATCATTGTGTTAGGTTTTTCATAGGAAGAGACTGGGAGAGTAGTAGCCTGCAGGTCTTAGACATGTATCCCATTTATAGTGTTCCACCTTCTATTGTTCACAGTTGTCAAGAAAACATACAGCACCCCCTTAAAACAATAGAAGACCCAGGTCTCTAACTTACTGTCCAAAATGCTTTTCACCACAGTAAGCAAATGATACTGGTAACCTTACAATTTTGTGTGGTAAAGAAAAGATAGACAGGTCTCCACAGGGAAAAGCTCAATTGGAGATAGTGGATTGTCAAGTTTGGTAAAAAAGAGGTTGATCCACTAGGGAGAAAAGGAAGAGCCCAGACACCTAAAATGAATTGAAACTGGTTGAGCTGAAAACAATGCTGGTTTGGGCACATATATAAATGGGTCTGCAAAGCAACCTATCAAGGAGATATTTGACACCCATTTTGCCCCATTTTACCAATATAAAATGTTGGCTGAAGAAGAAAAGATACACATTTATATGTTCTGAACACTGACCCTTCATAGGGCCCTATATAAAGGTTAGCATAAAAAAAGAGATTATAACTCATGGCAGCAGAAGAGAGATTTGAGAAAACGAAGGGCTACACCAAGAACAGGATCAAAGATTAGTGAGGCAATCTAACTTTTGCTACAAGAATTCCATGTACTGACTGATAGAAAACTACTTATTTAGACTTTTAGTTCCATACAATGCATTCCTCAGTTATTAGATAGTGTGAAACTGAATTTGCAAGATCAGAGTGTGTTTTTTATGGGTATCCACCACCTTTTTATTATAAGAATCCAAAACAAGGACTTCTCAATATCATATTTCTTTCCCACTATTATTTCAACTCCCATGATTTATTTATTTTATGTATACATTACACACACACCTCCAAACATAGAGTATATTGAACCTCTTGGTGGTTTTGTGACTCCAGCTGTCTGAGACTTTAACACTATCAAAGATACTTGGAGCCTGTACGAACTGCTGGAAGCACACCTTTTTTCCCTCCCTCTCCCCCACCCTGTCCTCTTTTAATAGCAACTGCAATTAGTAACACTTTCACCCTTTTGGGTCACTCAGCAGTTATGAAAATGAAGTTCTCTGTATAAATGTGTAAATTTAAGTAAAATGATGTTCATGTACGCTATCTTTTTTTTCATCTCTGAAACTAATCAGTTTGAGTCTTATTTTTCTTATTAAATAAAATGTGATTAAAAGTAAAATCTAAAAAGGGTCTTGAAATCGATTACCTGTTACTTAATTCTC